CCTCTGGTGCAAATTACTGACCTCTGTCATCATTTTAAGTGGGGGAACTTGCACAATCGGTGGCTGACTAAATACTTTTTTGCCCCACTGTATATAACATATAAAATCACTGAAAGACAGTGCTTTAAAAGTAATGAATAATTTATTGGAGGCAATTGTCTGTTTTTGTGTATGAATTATTCACTTTTTATGTTCAAGGACCGACAGTCATTACTGCAAAATCATTCATGCATATTCCCACATCCCTTGCTGACTAATTTCCTCTGCTTATCTGGAAGGAAAAGGGCAAGCATTTAGACCTGCCACTGCAATAATGACATTTTAGTGTATTTTTAGAGCATGCTACAGAAAGCTGCTGTTCAAAATCATATGATGTACACACAAAATATGTGAATGTATAATGTTGTTGTATATATGTATATAAAAAAGAAGAGACTACCGTTTCTTTTCTCTTTATAGCCATTCATCTTTTACAGTACAAGTATAGAATAATTCAGTTTGTCAAGGACGAGGTTCCATATGGTTATGCACTGACTGTTAAACCATTGCCCTGTTTAACAACAAAACCCTACAGGATACATTTTCCACACTAAGTGCATAAAAATCCCAGTTTCCTCCTATTTCTGGCCTAAGCTGCAATAAATATGCTTCTACGAGGACGCATTAGGAGTTAGAGCACTTTGACACAGCCTGCCAGGCAGCTGTCACCATGTACAACCTTTAATGGAGGGAAAAAATTATCCATTACCTTCACATTTAGTACAAAAACGTATCAGGTAGCACTTGTGCAATGTCAAGGGGCCATTTTCCAAAAAGTTGCTTTGGCCAACCGAAGACGTATGTGGACGCTTATAAAAAGTAAAGTTACAAGTTTAAAAAAAAATTAACAGACGCAATGAGCTCATTTGTTACAAATTTGTCTCTCAGAAGGTGTTTAAGTCTCACTGGGCCAGCCTTCTGCTGGAAACATGCAGCACGTTTCATTAGTCAGGAGTGTGAAGCAGCCTTTGGGTGTAGGGAGGGGAAGATGCCACTATGCAATAGTTGAATGATTGAGATAAATTAAATATTTTTTTCTTTGACAGCTAAGTATCTATCCTGAAATTTTTTTTTTTTCTTTGTGAGAGTTGCGCAAAGTATATTGCTGTTTTACAGTCAAAGAATCCTGGCACATCCACAATTAATTCCAATCTACAATAACATGATATAAAGTCAATCCACTTGGTGATAGGGGTCCAAGTGCCTTTTTCCCCCCTTGGCAAAGTTTATAATAGCTTTTAAACCCCCCTGTGTTTCTTCAGGGAATGTAAGCTGTTCAAATGGCATTATCATTAAAAGTTCATTCTCAAAACAGCAATTTAATATATTTTGCTGATTGCTGAAGTGTCAGGGGATGTTGTGATTGCCTCTGAGAGGGCCAGCGCTTAGAGCCACCTTAAGACACACATGTATTTTCTGTATATAACACAAGTAATAGACTGTTTAGAAAATAAAAAACTTTAAGCATGTGCCAGGTTAGAATTAGCCAGTGATGCTTAATGCTAACGTAGCTAACCTAGCGAACCGGCAACCTTCCGATTGCAAGGCGAACTCCCAACTCTTGAGCCACGATCGCCCCATGGCTCAAGAGTTGGGAGTATACGGCAACACACAGACGATTATATGTTATAGACTGTTTAGAAAATGAGAACTTTAATTATCTGCCAGTTTAGCATTAGCCAGTGCTAAATGCTAACTTAGCATCTTAGCTAGTATTTACTAGCATGCGTGTTTACTGTAGGCTTGTGTGTACAATACAACATATCCATATTTTTCTGTATTTTTTGGTCCTACAGTAGTATAGGGCAACACATTGACAATTGTACTGTTTTTGTTTTGTTTTGTTATACTTTTAGCAATTTAAACCTATTTTCTGTTTCAAATCATGTTTGTCAAGTATTCTGACTAAATATTCTTATCATGAGTAGAGTTTCAATTGACCATAAGACAGTATAAGATGATTTCCTTCTAACCATAAGCCAGCCCAGACTACCATGCATGTCATTCACATTAGGTGTTCCAGCATAAATCCAAAATAAATGGAAACTTGTACACCCAAATCTTGTTTTTTTACATCATTAAAGATGATTGCTGTACAATCATCACACCCTGGAAGAAGAACAGTTCAAAGAAAACTTTAAAACCCTCAAATTACCATGACATTCATGCCCATGATGAGTGGCTGTAAACCACAACTGTATACACATGAAAGCCTTACTTTGATGGTAGTGGTTAGGGCATTAGAGAAGAATAATATGTGCATGCATATGTGTGGTGTGCAAGCACTAATATGGAGCTGTATTCTCTCTGTGAATTATGGTGGGCGTCACTCAGCACATTGTTTTCCAAGAGTGGTAATATAAGACACACTGCTACTCTCATTCACAAACCACCAAGTAATCAAAAGTAAAGCCCTACCAATATATTAGCTGCTCGTAAATATTGGATTTTCCTGCTATTTGTCATTTTGTGGAAAGAAAGAATCGGGATGTTATTGTGAAACATAAATGAGATTTGTTTCATTAGTAAATGTATGAAGATAAAAGCTGAGCTGAGCTGCTCAGCTGTGATATCCTGTCATGTCAGTCTGGACTTAGATATGATCTGCATTATAACTGCAATGCAATCAGTTATTTCTATAGAACATAATCTGTAAAAGAACAGCAAGTTTTGCATTGTACATCAGCTGGCTACACCCATAGCAATCATTCCAAAGCTCTTATTGCCAAGTTAGTGTTTGTGTGTCCTGGCACCTCCACCTTTTCTAATCCTCGCGCCCCCCTTCCCCTGAGTTCATCCTCTGTTTCCCTCTGCTGCACTGTCGCCATTTCTCCAGCTTCCTCTGTCACAAATAGTTGTAACCAAAATTTTCAGAAGTCAAAAATAGGATATTCAAGTACTCCAGAGTTACTGTTAGGGTACTTTATATCATCAGGGGTGACTTAGACTCCACGATGTATGACTTATGTAAACTTTTGCTAACAATTTTATTTATAATAATAATAATAGATTGCATTTATATAGCGCTTTTCGAGACCACTATTCATTCACTCTCACATTCACACACTGGTGCAGGCAAACCACAGTTGTAGCCACAGTTGCCCTGGGGCAGACTGACAGAAGCGAGGCTGCCATATCGCGCCATCAGCCCCTCTGGCCATCAAAAAAAAAAAAAAAAGCAATAGTGCTATTTCAGAAATACCATCTACCTCTGCCCTTGACCTTGAGGTCAAGGTCACTGAGATTCAAATTTGTCAGAGATTTTTAGTAGATATGCCTATGGCAGGGGTGGCCAACTCCAGGCCTCGAGAGCCGGTGTCCTGCAGGCTTTAGATAACACCCTGGGTCAACACACCAGAATCAAATGATTAGTTCATTACCAGGCATCTGGAGAACTTCAAGAAATGTTGAGGGGGTAATTTAGCCCTTTAAATCAGCTGTGATGGATCAAGGACACATTTAAATCCTGCAGGACTCAATTCATGACATACAGATACTTGATCATGCCCCTTTACATCACATTTAAATGCACTGGGCATCGCAGGCACAGTCATGGTAAATGTTATGAAAGAGCATATGAATCTTTCACCACAGCTTCTGACAAAATATTAGTGTGAGTGAGTTGTAACCTGTTAGTCCATGTAGATTTCAAATAACTATAACAACTTGGGACTTACTAAGAATTCATTATTCATGATTACTGATGTTTTACCAGCTTTCTAACTTTTCCGTATAAGATGTTATCTCCGTGCCTGAGAAATAAGAATACTAGTCTGCATGTCACATCAGCATACAGAGCTCTGTCAATGCAATCAGTGAAGAGTAAAATGTCCAATACACACATTGCGACAACAGTAAAACAAAGCAGTTATGTTAATGATATCTGTGAGTCAGACATGACGCCTGTCAGGTCCATTTAGTTGTCGACTTTTTTAAGATGTTTGGTTTGGCAATTTTGATTTGGCTCTTAGATTGTTTATTGGTACATTTCAGTCCCTATGAAAAGTTTTGTGACAACACCCACAATCTCTGTACTACTGATAAATAGTTTCCTTCCCACGCCGACTGTGAGCCAACAATAATGACTGGGATGTTGGCTCAAAGACTGAGATGATTGTGAACAATTACCTGGGAAAACGATTGCTTAATATTGATTTGCTTTATTCTACTTAGAAAGCTCCTTTTCTCAGCTGTGTTGTCTGTACCATTGGTGTTTGTAGTCCAAAATGATGGCAGTGCTAATATAGATCAATCAAGCAACAATTATCAAAAAAGTGCGACAGTTTTGATGCTGTGCATACCAGCAAGTAGGAATTCTGAGAACATGAATAGACGTGTTCAGTGCTATCTGCAATCACATAACTCAGTCTTTCCTGTTATAGAAAACCCCAACAAAGCCACCAACTCTAAAGCATGCAATGACTCTCATTTTGCTGATGCCTAATTGCCAGAAATGATGAAAGCACAAAGCTGTACTTAGGGAACGTCTTGTCTTGTTCTCTTATCAGTTAAAATTTTAGGAATGTTAGAGAAAAAGGTGCTCCTACCTCACAAACTGCTGTTATGAGCTCGTAGTGATGCCGTGTGCGTGAGCATGAAGCTCTCAGTGCACTGCTGACTGCTGGCAGATGGCGATCTGCGCGGTGAACGTTGAAAACGACGACTCCTGTTGAAGTAGTTGCCAGTTGTCCACAGGCGCTTGTTCTTCCTCAGATACTCCTTGTAGTTCTTGGTGAGCAATGTGTAGAGGAACGGGTTGATGCAGCTGTTGGAGTACGTCAGGCATGTGGTCAGGTAGTTGATGTTACGTTTGGCTTTGGTGGAGAGCGGCAACGAGGGGTGAAACTGACCCAGCAGTTGCCAGATCCAGAAGGGCAGGAAGCATGCCCAGAAGAGGAGCACGATTGTAAAGATCAAGTAGAGCACCTTCAAGGACATAAGAGCACAAAGAGGTGCCATCAGAGAGACTCAGATTTCACTTGGTGGGACACCTGATATTGGGATGTAAAATGCCAAGCTAATGTTAATGCATACATGCCAACCCTCCCGAATCCCGAATTTCAGTGCCCCTCCCGAAAATCTCCTGAATTTCTCCCGATTTTTTACCCAGACAACAAAATTGAAAAACCATATCCCAGAATTCAAAGCGTGGCCCAGCCAATTCCAGTTTCCAACAATGGCGGCAGCTACTTAGTTTTAATATTAATCTTATTACTCTTTCTGGGTCGCAAAATAAACTTTTAACATTTTCAGGCGAGAATGTAGCTGTGTAAGCTTCAAATATCTGAGCCGGCGAGAACAGCAAACCCCCGCGGTCTTTCACTACTCAGGTTAAACATGATAAGTCATTTAGATAACTTAAAAATGTTATTGTTCGTGAGTAAATCGGTTTGGCTGAGATTAAAGTTATTAGATTAGATTAGATTGAATAAAACTTCATTAATCCCTCAGGAGGATTCGTCCGGAGTTTTCACACAACTGAATAAACGTCAAACAGAAAACTGATTAAACAGAAGTGTGAGACAGTCGAAAATTTACACCAGCATCCGGTTATATTTTAGATAGCAAGGAGCAGACGGCTGAGTTTCACTCCACCGAGAGAGCTCGTGGCGTAATTCTGACCGTCCAGTTTCATAGTCGCTCACTTCCAGCCTACCTGGCTTTCGGAGGACCCGGCCCACTTAGACCGCGAAGGCCGGGTCCTCAGGTGGACACAGCCTCTGAATTTGGACACCCCAGCTGTTTCCGACCAGACAATAATAACGGTAACATTTAACTTATTTTATCCGATAAATAAACATTGTAAAATTCAAGGTTTTTGTATATATATAAATATATATATATTAGTGTATATGTTAACACCCCCTCCCCCGGATGGTTGGGTGGTTGGGTGGTATGGATGGATGGATGGCAAACATAATGGGCAATACAATGTGCAGACTTAAGGTCTTCCACACCAACTTGACAAACATCACAATAACGTGCTATAGCAACATATATTGCACTAACTTTTATTTGCTGTAAAATTGTAGCAAGACCATAGTAATCTATTAATACTGTTCATAACCAAACATCTGCTTCTTTAATGTGATGCCTCATGTGGTGCTGCTAGGTCAAAAGACTTCAGGTAAATGTCACTATATCTTGGCTATTTTGTAGAAGGTCCTCTGCACTAAGAAAAAATACATTTCAGTCATATCACTTTAGCCAAGTGATATGACTTAACCCAAACCCTACAAAACCCCTATAATATAGGCAAAACCAGCTTTTGTGGATAGAGTGTAAATAGTTTTTGAGTTGCATCAGTTATCAGAATGATTTGTTCCCTAAGTGATAAGACTTTGGAGGACAATTTAATAAAAATTACATATTTTGATTGGGTTAAAGGTCATTATTAATGATGAGTTAGTCATCAGAGGGTAAATAAGCTACCAACCCATTTCTGGTTATAGGTATGGTTACGATTATGTTAACATAAGTCGGATTATGATTTTCACCTATTTGGCATACTTAAACAAAAAACGTATTACAGAAAGGGAAAACGCATGCATAAGATGTTTTGGCGACTTTAGCAAGTGTTTACAACTCAAATCAGTCGTGCACTGTAATATCTATACTTTTTTCATCAGGAAATTTGGTTGTCCCCAGATCTTTAATAGTGTCCCTACACAGTAACTCGTCTAAGGTATTGTATGGAAGCCAATGTTAACTCATTAATCCTTTCAGTAACTTCCTATAGACTTTGGTTGTGTTGTGTTTCTTGTACTCTTGTGTGACTTTAGCAACTATTGCAAACTATTTCCCTGTGGGGAATACTGACGTAATTTTTTCTCATTTCTTGGTGCAGCATGATAACAGCAAGAGGTTCACAGTGAAGCACAGCCCTGGTAGGGAAGGACAGAATTGTTAGGATATCAAATAGTAGCAATTTTAAAGGTAGGGCAGTCTATATTTTCCCTTGCACTTCAAGATTCTCACCCTTAAATGCAAGTGATGGGTTACATTTAAGCGCGTCGGGAGAGAATAAAACCATCTTAAGCCCTGCTATGAAACAAAATAGAATGTGCATCAGACAAACACTGCATAAAGTACTTCTTGTTTAGTAGTGGAATATCTATGGAAGTTTGTACAGCATCACTGTGTCTAACTTCAGACATATTCATTAGGTTGGTGTTGATGGATGTGTTCATCTCCTGCTGAGCTGAAAACTGGGTAAGATGCAAGAGACGAGGTTGAGGGTGAGGCAGCTCACCAAAAAAGGAGAACTGAGATCGAGTTGGAGAGTCTGTGTGAAAATAACTGAAGAATTTTTAAGATATTATGTGATGCTCTCTTATTGATATAGTTGTTTCAGAGTATTGTACATAGCTTGGCCTAAGAGTAAGATTTATTTTTTCCATTCCAGCTTTTATATATGTGGATGTGCTTGGCTGAAAAAAATAATGAGCAGATAAATCTAGAACATTATAATTATTTGTAGACTAATAAAGAGTTTATCTAATAATAAACATTTGATACAAATAGTGTAGTAGTTGCACGCGCCATTTCTCTATGGTTTTTGTTCTTAAACTAAAGTTGTGTAATTATAATTACATATTCTTAGTTATGTAACATACTAATACAGGATCTTTAATATTAATGGAGTGGTATTAATGCTATTAGTATGTCACATTAGCATTTTTACTTGCTCAAAGTCCTTGAATATGTCTTCCAACATTGTATAAAATATTGACGAAAGGGATGAGGCCAATATTAACCAAGCGGCTACTTAATCTTCCCAAGGTCTTTACCTTGGAAAGGTAAAGACCTTGGGAAGATTTATAAAAATGCTTTCCATTTTTATAAATGGAAAGCATTTATTGGCACTTGGCCAACTTGGCAACCAGTCAGTCATGACATTGACTTTTCTCTAACAACCGGTGGTTACCAGGCAGTCACCAACCAGTCTCTAAACCTGTGTGACAAGGGCTTTAAATCTGTGGGAAACACTGTATTGCCCTTTTGTTTCCAGGAAGAAATGTGGCTTTGAATAGAATTGGCATAGATAGCTGAGTAGTGGCATTTAAATCAATCCACACAAAAGGATTTGATAAGTGGTAAGACAGTAAGTGCAATGATAAAGCAAAATAGTCACATTAAACACATTAATTTGTGCTTAACTTACCTTTTGATTTGGTAATTTTTTGGTCTGCTTGAATGTCTCCGTCTGTGAAATCCAATAAGTGCGTGCAAGCTGGATGTAAAGATAGCCAATAATCAGTCCTGGAGCGACAATGCTAGTGCAAAACAGGAAGGAGATGTAAATCTTGTAGGAGAGCGGTGACAAAGTGGACTGACACATAGGCTTGGTGCCCACTGCCATCAGTTGAATTCTCACGATCATCGGTAGGGTGAGGATTAGAGAAGCTACCCAGACAAGTAGGGCAATAGCTTTCCGATAACTTTTCGATCGTTTCACTGTGTCGAGTGGCTTGAGCACTGCAAAGTAGCGTTCTGTACTCATGATTGTCAGAGTAAAGATGCTTGCGTGCATAGTCAGGAAGTCCATGCTTATCAGAATCCGACACCCTGCATCTCCAAAGTACCATCCCTTCAGGAAGTGTGTGCAGACTACGAAGGGGATGGTGAGAAGATACAGCAGATCTGCTAAAGCTAAGTTTATGATGTAGATGTACATGGAGGCTGCAGACCTCATGGACTGGCACATCACCACCAGGGTGTAGATGTTCCCGGAGACTCCAATGAGACACATGATGGAGAGGATGGTTCCAATGGTAAAGGTGGCGGCTGTATCTTCAAGTGAGTTCAGAGGAGGGTCAGTTGCATTGCCGTCCCTTTCCACCAGGACTCGCACAGGCTCCATGGACACTGTTGTCATGTCTGGATGCAAGAGAAACGTATGGGAACAGGGAAATGATATATTAGCTCTCCAATATAGCCAATGCATGGAAGCTATTTTAATGAAGTGGATCTTTGGGGGATTTTTAAACAGATTGCTAAAGTGTTAAAAAGACTATACTGGCATATTTTCTGCAAGCTATCATCTCCATTTTGAAAAAACACGCCAATAGGTAGAGATCTAAACCATCTCTCGCTCTGAGTCTCTGACTCATTGCATATTTACAGAGGTGGATACCAAAAAGTGTCAAAACTGCTAAACAAAAGGTTAAATTTCTGTCTGACTAAAGTTTAATCTGATTAATAAAAATTACCACAGCAGTGTTTTAGTAAGACCAAGTTGGTCAAGAACTGAGGCGTTATCCTAAGTTTTGAAACTGTAGTACTAATGTTTAGATTCAGTCTGCACACTGTGACTCAAATGATGCAGAAAATCTGACACTGAAATAATCTTTGATGGAAATTAGCGCTCTTGTTATTGAGTGTTATCTCTCTGATTAACGTTAGCACAATCTTAAACTCTGGTGACAAAAATGTGTCATAATTCTCTGCAAGTTTTTAAATGGGAAGAAGTTCGTTTTTCAGAATTATTACTTGTGTGCTGACTTTAAAGTAAACATACGGTGAGTTTCTAACCTGGTCAGTTGATTACACATTGAGGTCTAGGCTGGAACCATGAATCTTAGTTTCTAAAGAAAATTTTGCTTATTCCCATTTGATTACCGCACAACTTAAGAAAAAGAGTCTCATGAACATTGCACAACTGAAAAATTATCCAAGTCATTTCTCAGAAGTAAAACTACAGCTAAATGTATCAGAGTTGATCCAGTTGTTGCACTGATGTCTTTACTGAGTCATAGACATCTTCTTGTCAAGATTAATGCTCACCTGTCAAAATTCAGACAGAATTTCACTAAGTCACTAAGAAGTAATTTCTCCGTTGTGACTTAAGTAGTGCCAAAAAGCACCAGGGGCAGAGATGAAGTCAGGCTGGGCTTATATTACATTTTAGCCTTCAGTAATAGAATTTCCTGGCAAGCTCAGAAATGAACAGCAGTTCCTACTACATGCATGTAAATGTACAATTACAAATCTATTTGGGAAATAAAGTGAACTGGCTGACTTACCTGGGCTGCCTTACTGGACAGAAGAGGTTCAACACTCAGCTGTGGTTCCACCGGCCATGCTCTGTCAAACTTCACACTTGCTGGACAAATTTCACACTCCATAAAAGTCCCCACAGAGTGTAGAAAGGAAACCCACAGGTGGAGCACAGGAAAAGAAATTTATATCCAGGAGTCCTGAAGGAGGAAAATGACCTAAATGAGTCATTGACTACAACAAAAACCCTTCCACTGTTGACTCGTCTCTCGACAGCAAATCAACCAATCTAACGTGTCTTGATTCAAGAGAAAGTGCACTGATAGCAGCCTTAAAAGTTCTCTCCTATTCCCTTCACTCTTTGTGCACCTTTGCAGCATCCACGTACAGGATGTCAGCATCGGCAGAATCGGGAGAGAGAGAGAGAGACAGACAGACAGAGAGAGAGAGAGAGAGAGAGAGAGAGAGAAAGGGGGGGGGGGGAGAAGAAAGCATCAGTGAAACAATCACAGAAGTGAGGATCACATTCAGCTACAGCTGGCTATGGAGAATCCTCTGTTTGACTGAGAGAGAGAGAGTGTGAGTGCCAGAGGTAGAGAGGGCAGAGCAAAAGCAGGGAGAAAGGGGGGGAGGGAAACAGAGCTATCAGTGAGGTACTCTCGCTGAGAAGCCTGAAAGTGGGAGGGAGAAGACGCAGAGAACGTTCAGCAGAGAGGTATGCAGGAAATGCATTCTGCTCTCTCTCCTTCTCTCTTTCACTCTGTAACCCCTGTGCCCTCTATTTCCATGTGACAGGGGCGTGTGCAACAAACTGATATGCAATAACAGGACTTGAGACACACTCGCGTGACAGCCTCACAGAAACACAAAAAAACATGCAGTAAATAAAAGATATACAGCAACGGCAATTTGTTAAATTGTGTTTGTTATTTTAACTGAATGGTTACAGAGTCAGCGTCAACTACCACTGCAGCAATTTGCCTAAGCATAGTCATCAGACTGCTGCAGAGAAGCTGATATAAATTAAACAGCGTTGTTGGCTTTCTGTCACTGCTACATGCTGAATATGGACTACATGTTAATACAACTGCATGTCAGGTCAAAGACGTGTAGTTCCCCCTTTTTACCTAGAAGAACAATTGTAAAATTACAGTGTATATATTTTTACCCCTAGGTGTCAGTAAATTGCAGTCAGCTGAATTTACCCCCACCATTTAGCCTGTATAATACTAGCTACGGTGACCACTGCTGGACAAAAAAGGTCTGGCTGCCATTCATCTGTAGTGAGTGTTTGCTGTCAGTTAGCTGTTTATCTTAGATGTCAGTATACTGGTTATCCTCGTCTATTTTCTGTAGGGAAGACAGTAAAACTTTGTGAAAAGAGTCTGATATGAGTCAGCGACTTAGTGAACCTCTCTTTTGTCTGATGATAGTGATACTGATGAAAGTTGTTGAGGATATCCTGAACCTTTGTCTTAGTAAGCGTTGTCAGGCGATAGCTGCTGTTAGCCTCCGTTAGCTACCGTTAGCTGGCATTGGCGAAACTGTCTTTGAACATTGTTGGAATTTTACTCTTAGCTAATAAACTTTCATAAGATGTGAGAATGTTATAAAACTGTTTATCAGAGGGGAAGTGTGATTATTAGTCTAGAGCCTAACATTAGCTGGCAAAATTTTAGCTTATAACCATCTGTTGCTGAGGTGAGGAGGTGGAAATGAGGAAGAAAAGAGAACAATGGAGGAGGCATAGAAAAACATAATAAGAAAGAAACAATGAAAATATCCACGTACAAATAAAGAGCTCTTTATGATCTTTAAATTAAAAGTAACTGATAAGGCGCACATTTATTTACAACAATAAATAAAAAAAATATATTGTACCTTATAATATAAAGTGCCTTGAGGTGACTGCTGTTATAATTCTGCACTATATGGATAGCATTCAATTAAAGCACAACAGTGTATTTTTTCTATTAAATACCCACCACCCAAAAGTACTTGCTGTAGCTTTAAATAAAGCAGTAGCAAATAAAATGCTTTTATCCAATTAAAGAGAAACAGGATGCAGGTCAGAGTAGAGGACAGATGTTTAATGTGCAAACTAAACAACTTTTATTGAAAGGAATGCGGCACAATCTTTAATAGGGATGGGTACCGGTATCCAGTGCCTTGATGGCACCGGTTCTGACATAAACGGTAGTAACCAGACCGAAAAGCAGCGCACATTTCGGTG